AAATATTACGGATAGTTTATTGGAAATAGTTGAATTGGTGCTCCGTGTGTTTTGCTGAATACTCTGCATATACTCGGCGAATATATTACTGGCATATGTACATTTTGACTATTACTAAAGCTGCCGTTTCTCTTTCGCCTTGTGATATGCGCTCAACGTTTATTTTCTGGCAACATTGCAATGAATATTTATTTGTCTTTATGCATTGTCTAAATCATTAAATGCATTTAGCACAGTTGTTGTTTATTCTATGTTCGAGAAATTCTCTTATAAAATAGTTTGCATAAAGGCAGGTGACAATTGTGTACTTTACAGTAAGTTTCTAATGATGTTTACAGCGCCCACTACCGTGTTAAGCAACAACAGTGTACTGATTAGTCCCCAGCACGTGCGTTAGCAGGGCATGCCGGCACCTTTAATTATTGATCTCCGTGATAGAATTGTGTCCCTGCCGTAAAGAGTTCGAAAATAAATGAGATGCAATGCATATTTAGTACAAAAATTCCAGATGACACTCGCTGATAATTGGATACTTAAGCCCTTCTTTTCGCAGCTGGACCAAACGGGTAAACACTTCTTATTAAATCACAAGGTGCTGCAGAGGGGCTATTTATGCTTTCACCTCAGGGTATTTTTATTATGCGTTTGAGAACGTGCTATCCAGGTACCCCCCCCCTCCCTCTTCCCTCCCTCTCCTCAACCCCGGGGGACTAGGAGGTGCTTTTTGTCCGCGCGCGCCAGTAACTCAATGGTATTTGTGGCCAAGATATTGCAAGATAACTTTATATAGTGCGGAATCTATGTGAGGCAAGTGAATCGCTTCACTCCTGTGTGACGGGTCGACGCGGTGAGGTAAACAAATGCGACTTCGCTTTTTCGTCGCAGCAGAGTATTTGTTGGTCGTTAGAGAGCGCGCGGGCATGCGAGGCCCGTCTGAAGCACCGTTATAGCAATGGCGTCTCACACCTCAGGTTTGAAGTTTATGATGATCACGGTCTGTTTTTACCCCGTGGGACCATTGGCTAATTAATGCTGCTTCTGTAAAGGTATGCAAGTCGGGGGAGGCAGGCACGTGAGCCACGCTCTCCCGGCACTGGCTGGCACTGCGCTAAAGTCGGGCGCTCGGTGACATTTCTCCTTCTGCCTGTCGCCACACCGTGTGTATTTATGTTCAGTAAAATGAAGAAAATACACGTTTGTGGCAGTTCCACCTCTGGGATGACTTCACACGGAGGACCCGCGCTTACCGCTCTTGATGTGCGAATGACATCTCGCTTTGAGCTTTTGTACTGGGGCCGCGTTTCGAGGCGTCACGGGCCGCCCGGAGATGTATTCTGACGTCGTTATTGGAAAGATAACATCAAGCTGAATAGGCGGTTTCCTTTGGCTTTGACGTCTAGCTTTGCAGTTTTACTTTATCGAACAGGAAAATGCAGTCTGTGAGTCTCCCCTGTTACCTTATTTCATATCTCGTCGTCACTTTTTCCGTTTTCTTTTCTATGTTATATCCAGTGTTAAGGGTTACGTAGATTTTGTACTTTTACCGATGGTATCAGAGTGATATAGGAGAATGATAGAAAATATTTGGATGTTTTGTTCATATATATACTGAAAGGTAACACAGGTGTATGTATATTCAAACAAAAGGTTTTCAAAACCACAAACACAAATCTCTGTGTATATATTTTTTCTCTTCTAAGTAACAGTACCATCTACGCGGCATCTATGTAGAGGAAAATAGAGTAAATTAGTCATTTTCTGCTTGTGTTTTTGTCTGTTTTTTTCATCAAGTGTGGCTTGGTACAAGGTCAGGTAGTGTTGGAGAAAGGGTGGAGAAAGGTTGGAGGTGGACGCCGGGGAGCAGATGCAGGTTGTGGGAGGAAAGGGGAGGGAGGGGTAGGGTAATGGGCATGCAAGGAGGTCAGTAGGTCTTGAGATTTCTATGCTGTTAAGATGCTGACGTTATTCCAAAGTTATGTTTTGGTAACCTTTTTATGGCGGTCACTTTTGCGAAAAAAAGATCGACAGATTTATTAGATTTATATCTGGGCTTTCGTAGAGGTTTACTATAAACGTTTCCACGACGCGTTAGTCACTAGCAGAGTTGTTACTTCGCAAATTTGATGAAATTATGAAACCATAAAAATCATATTTTCTTCCTCTCTGCCCGCATGATATTTGTGTTTCTTCTCATCCATGACTTAACCTTGTGTGTGTTTTCATGAGTCACACACATGCATGTGTTGCATGTGCATGTTGTGTCATGCATGTACACACACACATGCATGTGTACACACACGCATGCATGTGTACACACACACATGCATGTGTACACACACACATGCATGTGTGTGCATGCATGTGTACACACACCCATGTGTACACACACCCATGCATGTGTACACACACCCATGCATGTGTACACACACCCATGCATGTACACACACCCATGCATGTGTACACACACCCATGCATGTGTACACACACCCATGCATGTGTA